TTCTACATTTCTAAACTAATTGTAATAAAATAAATTTATTTTCAGATTACACACACATATATATACAAATACATAGACACATATGTGAGCAAACACACTGTATGTAATTGTCATCTTTCAAATCCTTTTTCTGCGCATATACCTGAAGAGGGCCGTTGAAGAGGCCAAAAGTGTTTTATTTATTTTTTTTCTTCAGAAAATAATTGATGGAAGTATTGAAGCACTAGGTAAATTATTAGTTATCTCATTTCCAGCCTCTGTGAATATTTTATTAAAATGTTCAAAATTTATACACTTTCTTTAACAGATTTTAAATTAAGAGATATTTATAAAAATTCTAAACATGTATTCATTACATTATAAAACAAATTGTACTTAATAATGAAATTTTTCATATTCATCTTAAATTACAACATAAACCTGAAATTTTTTATAAAATAAATTCCATTATTATAGGATATTTTTTTTATCTTAAAACTTCAGACTTCAATTACAAAATTTCAAGGCCAAATGCAATAATCTGAATGACTTTCTGTTATTGATACAATCGAATATTTTTTAATTTTTAAAATTCACTTTTTACGTTCTATAAAACTATTTCTTTTTCTTTTGCATTAACTTATCATATTTGAATATTATTATTAGAGTTATATTTGTAAATGATCCATCTGTAACCAAATTACCGATTAAAAAAATACACTAAGCAAATAGATTTTACTAGTTATCAGTCCTTTATATCATGAATGATTAACATTCAATATATGATGAATGATATTTATATTTTTGACATTAATGTATAGAGCATGAATATGTAAATGAAGATAATTATATAAAAATGTTTTTATCTCTGCATATTTTTACAATTCAAATTTTTGTTATATTTTTCATAAAAAATGTTTTATATTTCTGAGACGTGGATACTTTTACTAAAACAACAGATTTCTACACTTGTTTGTTCAAAACAGAAAAAATAACATCAAATATCAATAAAACTATCACAAAAATATTTTAAATTGCAGATGACATATACTGTAATCAAATTTTTTTACTGGTTTATCATAAGAATGATATACTGTGACAGACCTTTGTTTCTTATTCTGAAATTCTTCTGGCAGATCTTTTCTAATTTGATAGAATAATAAACCTCAAAAAGCAGAATCACATTAAAAATTTCTCATTTTATTTCAGAGACTATTGAAAATTTCTGCATGCTTAAATCAATTTAAAGAAAGCTAAAACTACTCTTTACACTTACTTGAGGGCTAAGTGCCAAAGGCACAGGACTGCTAACAATTAAATACTTTAAACACTTTTTTCCTAAATATTCTGCATTAAAATGGCAGTGCATCTTATATGCCATAAAATATGGTATACAAATCAAAATATTAGTTAATAAACAAGAAAATGTAATCTTCACTATAGTTTCATTAAGTTTTACATCTATGTGATTATCTTTAAAAATATACATAGAGTATATACATCACATTATTTAATAGCCATTATTCTCTATCAATGTCTTGCTACTTAATAATTTAGATTGTTTAATTTATAGTCATGTTCTTGATAATCATGATGATAATTAAAGTAAGAATTTCAGTTGCTGCAATCATAAATTAAAGAAAATTAATTTCATTTATAACAAATTATAATTGTATAATATAATTTATTTAAATAATTATTTATAAATAATATTCTTTATACAATTAAATAAATATACAACTCAATCATCTCTGGTATAATAAAATGTGACACTGATGTTTAATTAAGGAGAGAAAGCCTCTCCTAATATAAGGAGTTAGGTATTTTGCTTAGGAAATCCATTTAGATGTTTAAAAAATAAGAACTTTTACTAATTAGGCTGCAATTTGAAAAAATTGTAGACATAAATTTCCACTGTTGTCCATCCATCTGTCTTTCCTTAATCTCTAAAACAGAGACAGATGAAAGACGAGACCAGATATGGAAACCTTAGAAGCAGGAGACCCAGATTAACTACATATGAACTTCCAGTTTACACCAGAAGTCACTTTATTTCAATTCAAACATTTACTCCTGGAAGATTTTAGATAGATGACCTATTGTTAAAGGAAAAGTATGATATACAGGAGCAATACACTACTAATTTGAGGTGGAGAACATATATTTTAAATTAAATAAATTAAAAATATGATTGAAAATTTGCAGCCCAGCATTGTGACGATGTCACAATAAATATTTGCTCATTATTCATTCATTTATTTATCCCTATAAGCAGCAGTGCCCCTAACTATAAAAAGGGAAGCACAAGCTATAAAAGAGGATATATATCAGACATGAGCAAATGCAGTTATTTTTGACTTGCATGCAGTTCTTGCTGAAAGTGTTAATTTCTGCTTTTTATTATTATTTTTACAATTTTATTTCCACAATTTTGTGAAAATATGTTTATTAAAAACATTCAGTATTTGTTTTATATTATATAATAAAATCGAGATACAGAACTGCAGTACAGAATAAAAAAATACAGAACTGTGGCTCCCATGCATTTTGCAAAATCTACATTTTGGCTCCCACTGAACTCTTGCTTGCCCATCCCTGGTATATACAATGCAATATATACCAAAAAAAATATCCATAAAGTTTCTCAAAAAAATAAGTTAGCGAATCTAAAGTGAAAAACTTGCAGATAGAAAAATTCAAGAAATATTCCAACTTTTTGCAAATCCTCCAAGAAACCCACTTAACTGGAGTTACAAACCAACAATAAAAAAAATTTTTGTGTTCTAATAACTTGAATTTGTGTTTTTTAATAGTAAGTTTTTTTGAAGATGGATTTATTCAATGTAAAAATACTTGGTAACATGTTATAAGTTGATTTCTGACTCGAACGAAATAAGGTCATACAAGTATAATTTAGTTTCCTCACAATAAATCTTTATTTTTATTTTTTTATTTTTTTGAAAAATGTAATAACTATGCTTTTATTTTAATAACATGGTTAGTTGTTTGGATATAGATTTTATTTTAAAACTATGAAGTAATGATTACCACAGAGGATAGAAAATGAATAAATAAAAAGTTTTATAGATTTTTATTTCAGTCTGTACAATCTGTTTCAAAGTACAATTCATATAACATATAGTTCTGTATTATAGCTTTTTTGTTGTGTCTACCACTGCTCCCACTTAGACTAGATAATAAAGAATAAATCAGGAATAATTTTTTTATTTTCTTTTAAAAAGATTTCCCATGGTTTCTCTCTCATTTATAAATTTTATTTTACTTTATTTTTTTTTACATTAGATCAGTTTCTTTTCTCATAGCAAATTAAACTGAAATATAATACATCCAATTCTGTTTTAAACTTTAATCAATGTTTTAATCTAACTTATTAGTGCCTCACTATATTGAGTTTAGCAACTGAGTCTAGTAGTGATCCTTTTCCATGATAAATTTAATATACAGTATTATGTTATGAAACTTTTTCTTAAAAGTTTACTCAGTTCAACAAACTAGTCTATTNATATCTGTTTATATTCTACCGTTGCTATCATTCCAAATTTGCTATTTAAGATTGGAATGTTTTTAAAAATTTTGTATTCAAAAAAGGTTCTAATGACCTGAAGAAGATGAAAGTGTATATCGTCAAAAGCGCTCGTCAATTTAGTGACATAGGTGTCTAATTTAACGCTTATATGTTAAAAGTTTTTGTAATGCATACTTTCTTCTACATCTTTGTATTCATAACATAACATATTAATTTATAAACGTAATATTTAAATATATCGATTATGAAAATTTCATTGAATATGTTATTAGCCAGGTTTCTTAAAGCAGAG